TTCTACAGGCGCAGGTTCGTTGTTGGATAGCCCAGCAAATGTTGGCCAAGATGCGGCTTCGGGAACATGCTGCTACTTACATCCAAAAAGTGTGGCGAGGGAGTAGGGTTCGCAGATGGTACCAGAACTTCCGAAGGGCTCTCATTGCATTCCAGGTAACTTATGTGTAATATAGGAGAGGGTTGGGGTAAAAAAGTGATAGCTGAGTTTACATATTTTTACATCTAAAACTGTTCTTTTGTTATTACAAGAACACGAATAAAGACTCATAAGGAAAGTAGAGTGTCCAGTGTTGTCAAAGAAATAAAGATTAAAGAATATTTATTTTTTTCTATAAATTCTATAATGGGTATCATTTATTTATGAATGTGCTTTCCTTCAAACAAAATATAATTGAAGATAATATAATGTTGTAGGCTTGTGTAAGGGGAGAGCAAGCGAGGCAACGGTACCGCATCCTCCGTGAGGAATGGAGACGGCAAAAAGCAGAGGAAGGCCGGAGAAGACTGAAGGAGGAGGAGGAGTTATCGGTGACCTCAGTTACCACTGTTGGATCTATTACCTCAGTCCCTGTCGTTGAATCGTCAGAACCTGCTCAACCCCCTCCCCGAAGACGGTCAACGTCTGTGGTTCAGGTATTTCATGTCTTACTTGTTTATTTATTTATTTACTTTATAGCTGACTGATGTTTGGGAGGATTCATTGAGTATGCTGAATGGGGTGATAGTATTGGTCAAAAAATATTTCATTTATTTATTAGTTCTGCATCCTCCCATGGGATTATAAAAACAGCTAGTCCTTCCTGGATTGTATAGGGGATCATAAGTCAGTTTTTTTTTGTTTTGTTTTTTTTCATCACACAATCAAAGGGTTAAGCTACAGCTATCAATTGCAGGAGGACATTTCTTAGAAAATGTAAGTTTTGTGCACATAATAAAGGAAATCATTTTTGGCAGTAGGTGGATAATAAGTAAGTTACACCTATGCTACTGGGGATGACATATATGTAGATGCCTTGGCCACTGTGAGTTTATTTTATTTATTATCTTTTCATACCTTCACAAGTGTTTAGCCACCAAGCTGGCAATTACTGGTACTGCCTATCTCTCTTGTTTACCCATTTTGTTGATTTTCAGAAATATTCTCTTTGATTTTATTGCTGTGAGTAATGTAACATTATAATGATTATGTCTAAAATGATAATGACAGCATCAGTATTAACCTCTATGATATGGATGACGTTACAGGCCTGTCATGGAAAATATAGGGCAAGGGCCGGGTGATGTGAACATAGCGTCATTGGACAAAATACCTTTGGGCTGGCTGACGCTAACTTGCCATCATGAGCGAAGGCCAAGGTGACAGAAAAGACTCGACACGAGTGCACAAACCTCTTGGAGTGTGATTAGACTCATTTGGTGCTTAGAAGGGAGCTTTTGCATTATTCCCATCAAAAAACAAAAGTGGAATGTAAGATGTGTAAGCTGTAACTAGAAGAGTGCCAGCTCCAAGGAGGGTGCCATTTCCATGCTGTGCATCGAATTCCTGGCCATATGACTGGTGGCGCAGGTTTTATTACGGAAAATTGAAAATTATAGAAAAATAAGATATATGACACAAGTAACCAAGTGTTAGTTATTTACTACTTAGAGAGATGATATGGAGTCTGTGCAAGGAAAGTATACTATTACCATCTGGATAAAGCAAATCAATGACAAGTATGGACCTTGGAAAATGGCAAAAAAGCTAAAAAAAAAAAGTTGGTGCAAAATAACTTTGTAAAAGGGAGGCACAGAGTCTTGTCACCACTCATGAGTGTTTGTTCATGCCCAGCCTATGGGTATTTGCCACTTATGTAACCCAGAAAAAAACAATCCATAAGACTCAAGGAAAGGGGAAGTCAGGCGAAGGCACAAGATCTGCTAATTAATTCCTTTGTGGCTAAGTACTTGTTCAACCATATGTTTCACAAAACAAAACTGCTGTGGACATCACTTTTTCGTGGCAGCATTAGGTCAAAAGATATTTTCCAATTAACGTAATTCAATTTTTTTTCCCCCATAGAATGCACCAGTCCATAAACTACACAGAAGACAAAGTGAACAGCTTATTGGCGAGCGTAGACTATCGGAAAGCCAGCAGCCATACAACCAGGAAATGCGGAGGCTGAGTGAGACAGCTGTTCCCCTGAGAAGATCCTCCCCTGGAAGTACAGTGGTCCCGGTAAGTTAAAGACTGCAGCAACTGAGAGTTGAAAAATTTTGTGATTAGTAAGTTTTGATTAGAAAGTGTTAAGTTCAAATTATTTTTCCATTGTTACTAATACATTTTATGGGGACCAAGCTTCTTGTAATAAGGGATTTGTAATTCTCGTCAGCAGTGCTTGCTATTATTTACTGACTTACATTGGTCAGTATGATTATAACAGTGCTTGGTGTAAAAGTGTGAGACAGAGGTAGGGAGAAAGAATGAAAGCAAGTGAGAAAGACAGAGTAATTGAGAATGTGCATGTGTACATAATTATGTGTGTTGGGTGGGGGGCATGAAGCAATTTATGGCATGTGGCAAAAAATTAAAAAGAGCATTTGACTGTTAGCAGATTATGTTTGTTATAGTACCGAATAATTTTCTTTAGATACTAATATTATTGTTGTTAATTTTCCTCAGGAATATGTACTGAAAACCAGTTCTGTCTGAACTTTGATACTCCAAAACTAATCTCTCTCCCTCACTCCTTGGGATGATCCACTTAATTTATATGAATTAGTTAAACTTTCTAGTCCTATTCACCATGATGGAGGCTTTCCTCAGAATCTGTGGGAAGTACTGTGGGGAGTAAGGCTTGTCAAAAAGTGGGAGGCTGTTTTCATGGAACTCTTTTATTATTAGTAAGATGTAGGTAATTTCTTCCAACCACATCCATATCATACTTCCTTGCTCTTGGAGACCCTCCTCTCCCTTAGCCAATCATATAGTCGTGAATGTAATGTACTAAATGTGAATTAGTAATCCTGGTACTCCATAGCATATTCTACCCAGTTTTAACCTCCACTCTCTCCAGTATTCTCCCTTTGCACACCAAATTATTTTCTATTGCAGAATTACCTCAGGATTGTATTGATGAAAATTTGATTTTGTTGCTTTGCATTAGTTTTCTTTACTTATTTACATGTATATAGTGATTTATCCCCATTTTCCTCAAGCTTTAGGGATTAACACAAATCTTCCAATTTTAATTACCCTTAACCCACCCGCGCCGGGGTACATTTTGTAGCCAAAATTAAAAAAATCCGGGCAGCTACAAAATCGGCGGGCGGAGCTTCCCCAGAGTCTGTCCGCCGCCCGGCCGCCCGCCGCTTCTGCCGCGAAGCACGGCTCCGAGACAGCATCGCACTGGCGGGCAGCCCGACACTGTTTATTTTTTCCCTGTGTCCCATATATGTGACACCCGGGACGAATGGGTTGATTGCAAAAGACCCTTGATTTTTCAAGTTTTACAAAGATAGATATAGGTTTATATCTTGAAAGAGTAACAGGCCTTGCATAATTGTGATCAATAGGACTAAAGTTATTAGACATGAATTATCTAATCCACTTGCACTGGGTGTCTCACATGTGAGATGCCCTAAAAAAAAAAATTCCTGGGTTTCCTGCCGGTGCGATATCTAGATTGGAGCATGTGCACTGATTTTGTCGCCCATGGTGGATGGCGGGCAGGCCGGTTCCTGGACTGGCCCACATGCTGACTTTGACACCGCCCAGGAACTATTATTTTCAGCTTGAAAATGTACCAGTGCTAGTGGGTTAAAGGATGTAGATATCTAAATATATATATGCAGATCATGTTCTTCTTAACACTTGTGATCTGTTTTCTTTTTCTCTCTTAGGTTCAAACTCGGCACAGTGAAGATAGTCAAGGGGGACCATCACCCCCATCATCACCAAGTATTGTAGAAGGAGAGAAAGCAGTTGTGAAAGCTAAGTCCTTCCGACATCGTCCTTATTCCAAAGTTCCTCTGGCAAACCAGTCAGCTGTCACTCCGTCAGGTAAGTCCTTGCAAGATGTTCTATGGATGTTTGCAAAAATATATATGTAATATATTTAACTTTGATTTGGTGTGCATGGATTATGGGTGAACAGACTAATTTATTTTATGTAATCTTAAAGGAATGGATGGTGTGTGAATAGTTAATATTCCTCTAACTGCTAGTGTCATGTCATTGAATTAACCTTGGTAACAGAAAAATTGATTTATTTCTTTATCCTGCTGTGTCCATAAAAAATACAGAATGAAAGAATTAGGCTGCTTGTCATAAATAACACAGACAAAAAATACCTTGTAGAAAAAGTTCTGCTTTGTGTGTATGAGAATACTCACCCTTTACGTCTCTGTAAATAGCATCGTCAGAGAGCCTGAGCTCCAACCAGCTTGAGAGAAAGTCAAGCACAGGTGGCACAGAGGATGACGGGAACAGACATTCTCAGCTACAGCACCAGGACTCACATGGGGTCATGAAGTTGTCAAGGCAGTTCAGAAAGCCTTTCAAGAAAATAATGGGTGAGATGATGGTTGCATTTTGGTTGCCTGCTTCTTACCTTGGATGTTGTGTGGAAATTGGATTTGTAATTGGTGTTATTTTAAGTGTTGATTATGTGGAGAATATTTATTCTATTTCTTGATTGTTAATAAATTCCTTTCATACTATGACTATAACTTTTACCCTACTACAAGTAAAAAAAGCGACTAAACTAAACATAAGTTCTTTCTCGGCTTCCAATAGTACTAGAGCTACATTTATTTCGTAACTAAGGTTTATTATACTTTCCTCACATTTGATTTCTAATGGTATAACATGTATATTTATATATATGAATACATTACATTATGTCTTCAGTATTTAGACTGATAAACTCTCCCTTTCTGTCTCAGGCAAAAGAGAGGGCAGTATGAGTGAGAGTGAGGATGCCATGTCATATGAGTCGCAGCCGCAGACGCCCACCAGTCCAGGCGACTACCAACCCAGCTTCTCGGCAGAGATTACCTCCTCAGATGCATCTGCCCCAGTTGTGAAGGGGAGGTGTGCCAGCAGTGGAAATGGCCAGCAGGGAGCTTCCTCATGGGAGCTGCGAGGAGAGGAGCCACGGGCCAAAGAACCCCTCAAGCCTTCATCTAGCCTGCCAGATGTGGTACAGGGATTTTCCAGGTATGAGGATTTTTTCGATAGTTTTACTGTGGGGTGGAGGGCATTTTAAGAGTTGATGTAGTGAGTGGCTTTGGATTAAGGAGACTCTGGTTTTTAGATTATTTCATAATAATCATACTGTTTTTCATAGACTGGATGTCCAAAAGTAGTGGGCGTTTCACATGTGATTATTTTATTAAAAATGAGATGCATGTATTGTCCAGGAGTGTACAGGGGATCCTAATTGTTCATAGTAAATATGAACCAGAAACCTATGAGAGGAATAGCAATATACAAGATTCCATAGGAATACATTATGAAATAGTGTAATGTAGACGAGCACTGTAATATCCAGTAGTTTGTTCAGGCAAATAGTTTATTTTATGTTTATTGTTAAAATTGTACCAGAGTAATACCTACATTGTAGTAAAAAATAAGGTAATACAAATGAGAAAAATAAACATTAGGTGTTGTGAAACATGGTCTAAATATTACACACCACAAAATTTTGGAGGGGGGTCACAGTATAAGAAAAATGTATACATGTCATGATGCATGTATATGTCATAAGCCATTATGTCATGACGGCTATAGCTGTATCTATCACTGAAGGGTTAAATAAAAGTCATACAATTTGTGTAATCCTTTACTAACATATAATCCAGTTATTAGTGTAAAAAGATTTCCATATTAATTAAGTTTAGGGAAAAAGTTTGCAATAATGTATGTTCAACATGGAAGAGAAAAAAATCATAATGGTAATAACAAATTTCAGCATGGAGCCAGGTGGAGTGCAGGGAGCAGCTTCCTTGCCTCTGTCTGTGGTTGGGGGTGACACAGATGCCCTGAAACGCATCCTGGCAAGCAGTCCGCATACGCTTAAGCAGTCTACGTTGCTGAAGAAGGAAGTGTGCATTGCATGTGACAAACCCTTCACAAGCTTCTTCATCAATACAGGCTACAAGTGTTTAGGTAAAATGGCTTGATATTTATTTAGTTTATTCAAAATTATTGTTATTATTAATATTATTTCATTGTTCTTAATTCTTTAATGAAATATTATAGTGTTTATTAAAAAAATTTACAGTATTTTTGTTATTTCCCTCATACTTTTGAAAGGTTACCATGACTCCTTGCATTTTAATCCTCCTGCTCCCCCCCTCCAGGTTGTAAGAAGGTATTCCACCCTCGTTGCATTGAGGCTTCCCTCACTATTGGCTGCCAGGATGCATCAGGTGTTGGTAAGGAGAATGCTAGCCCGTCCAGTAAGAAGCCCAGAAGATTTGACCAGGAGGATAACTGGAATGTCACTCGAACATCAGAGTTTATTGACAAGTCAGATGAGGTCATTAAGGATGCAGACGAGCTCAGAAGGCTTGAGGAATTCATCACGCGAAAGGTAAGGAGAATTCCTTGTAGTGATTTACAAGGGTTTCACTTTTTCTTGGTCCTTCTCTTTGCTTGAATATATGTAACTTCATTGTTAAAAATAAAAGTATCTTTACTTAACGCACAACCTCTCTTTACCTCTTTACTCTGCAGTTGTACCAACTGGAAGAGAAAGAGAGTGAGAAGTCAGATACACGCACACAGAGCCTGGACCGCAGCTTCTCTCGTGAAGCACCCACACGGGACCTGGAAGTAAGTGTTCGGCTAAGGGACCGGAAGGACTCCCTTGTTGACCAAATGTTCTGCCAGTCATTACGAGAGTTCAAGACCAACCTTGTATCGACATACAGCGTAGCCTTCCAGAAGGAGTCCAACTTAGCTCTCAAGTACAAGGATCTTATTAAGAATTTTGAACAGGTTGGTAGTGTCTTTTGCAGTTATTATTACTTTTTTAGTATTATGGATTGAATGGTAGATAAATGAAAATTAGAAGTCTATAAATGGAGTGCATAAGCCTCTCTCCTGAAATTGATATCAAAGTCGGCCACAGAAGATGATGTGTTGAAATGAGGGGTGATGTTTTATCCTCCTTATTTCTTAATTAAAGTATTGCAAAACAAAGACATGGCCAAATTTGGAGGGCTCTAGGTTGGGAACTAAGGCCATTGGAAGTGTAAAATTCATCTCCATATGGCATTTAGAGCAAAGAGTAGCCTCCATTGTCATGGCATGTATGGGTGTTAGGTATTTTTTTATTATTTCATTTGCTATTGTATCTTATTAATTTGAAGCTGGAGTGAAGTAAGTTTTAAAATAGCTTAGATTTCACTTATTTATTTTTATTTTCTTCAATCTTATTTTTTCTCTAATTGTTTTCAAGGTAATGAACACCGTGTGTAAAGAAAAGATGGGCAATGATACCTTCCCAGTCACAATGGGCGTGAATGCGTTCCGAGGTTTCCTAGATGAGTTCATCCGGGAGAAAAAGAAGCCCATTGAGGAGAAGTCATTTGTGAAGAAGAGAAAGAGACACAGACGCAAAAAGAAGAAGGTTGTTAAAAATGTACTGTAAAATAATTCGGCATGTTATTTTGCATGTTAATAAATGCTGATTTGTTTTATATATCTTTGATAATAGTATACATAAACTGAATTAGATAAAGTGTATAATTATTTGATGAAGTATTTGAGCAATAAATGTGGTACTCGTTCTAATCTAGTTTTGAATTTTCAGGTGGAGGAGTTGGTGTACGGGGCCCATATCTTCACCCACATCATGGTGAACATTCCAACACAGTGTGAAGTGTGCAACTCCTTCCTCTGGCTCTCTATGAAGGCCCTTACCTGCCAAAGTAATTAGTTTTTCTTTATTATTGTTGCCCTTTTGAATTTGGTGCTTAAGAATATGAAGAATACTTGGAGAAAATAATTACAAGGACTAATTGCATGAACTGGAGAGACAATTTGGTTTTGCTGTTGAGTCTCTTATTTGTTTAGATGTGTGGGGTTTGGGTGTCAGGGTTTTCTAATATAGAAAAAGAATGAAAGTAGTGCTGCTTGTTTCATGTTTCAAGTCCCCCTGTTTCATTGAATTTAGAATGTGAGTTTAGGCACTGACAGATAAAGAAGAAGCCGAAAAAGAATTTGATATTATTTAATTTTAAACCACATCAGTGACATTTCCAAATATTCTGTACTATATTTTTTCTCTCACCCTACATCATCTTGTTTCCTAATACTCCTTAAAATTTCCCACTTTCAAGGATGTAAAGTGACTTGCCACCAAAAGTGTTACAAAAAGGCTGATGCTAAGTGCAGCCATGAGGGCCCCAAACCTGTGGTGGTGGCAACTGGCACCCCGCCAACACGTAACCGGGTCTTCTCTGTCCCACTGGAGAACCTGGTCAAGCCGGGTGAGAAAATACCAGGTGTGATAGATCGCCTCATCACGAGTATTGAACTCTATGGGCTCTACACAGAGGGGCTCTACCGAAAGTCAGGCGCAGCGACAAAGGTAGGTTTCTGTAACTGCAAAGGTGTTGCCTTTGGGATTGACTCAGATTGATTAATTGATTGTTTTCTGGCTCTGTGCTCTTTGTTAATTATTTTTTATTTTTTATTTTTTAAGTTTTGCCAAGTATCTAGTTGATTTATAAGCTGAAAAGCAATAACAGAATAAGAGAGGATTAAGAAAAAATAGCATTATTACCTTGAGAGAAATTTTAATTCTATGTAAGGTGTGTTATTATGAAAAAAAAATTATGCTAATTTACCAAGTAGTTAACTAATAGGCATATCTGAACTCATGTTATTACCCATTACCTTGATAAAAAAAAAAAAAAAAAAAATGCTATTCCGTCTCTAGGAATAGTGTAATCAGATAAAGTTAGGTAAGTCTACTAATAAATAAAGCATCTATGTGTAAACAAAACATGTAACTGGTGCCAATGGGTTGACACCCCATACCTAGCATATCTCTTTGTGGGATGCATTAGTAAGCTAAAAAAATATTGTAACTTTTGGTTCTGTAAGCTTGAGGTACATTTTCAGTTCCTGTATGAGTAATTTTATCACAAATAATGGAATTAGCCTAGGAGAAAACTTGAAAATACATATTAATGTAGACCTCACACGGTGGAAACTTTTTCTGAGTAGTTTCATCATCCCAAGAAGTAGATAAAGTTATTCTTTATTTCCCCATAGGTAAGATCAGTGAAGGCACACATTGAGCGTGATGCAGACAATGTTGACTTTACTGACACGCCTGTCCATGTCCTGGCTACCATTGTCAAGTCGTTCTTCCGAGACCTGCCTGAACCCTTGCTCACCTTCGATTGCTATGATCCACTGCTACATGCCACTGAGCTTCAGGACCCAGATGACCAGCTCCAGACTATTCTTAACATTGTCAAGGGCCTACCCAAGCTCAACTTTGACCTGCTTGAGCGACTGATCTTCCACATGGTTAGGGTGGCGTTACTTGAGGAGCACAACCGGATGAGCTGCAATGCCCTTGCCATCGTCTTTGCGCCGTGCATTCTCCGTAGTCAACGCTCGCAGACAGTGCAGGATTCCTTGAATGACATTGCGAAGCAGACTTCAGTAAGTAAAAGAAAAGAAACAGAAATTATCAATACTATGTAAAATGGATGTTGATTTATGACATTCCTCCTCCTCCTCCTCCTCCTTCCTTCTCCTCCTCCCTCTCTTCTTCTCCTCTCTCTCCCTTCCTTCTCCTCCTCTCTCTCTTCCTTCTCCTCCTCCCTCTCTTCCTCTCTTCCCTCTCTCCTCCTCCTCTCCTCCTCCTCCCCTTCCTCTCCTCCTCCTCCCCTCCCTCTCCTCCTCCTCCTCCTTCTCTCTTCTCCTCCTCCTCTCCTTCTTCCTCCCTCTCTTCTCTCCTCCTCCTCCTTCTCCTCCTCTCCTTCTCCTCCTTGCTCTCCTCTTTCTCCTCCTCCCTCTCCTTCTCTCCTTCTCTCCTCCTCTCCTTCTTCTCCTTCTCTCCTCCTCTCCTTCCTCATCTCTTCTCCTCTCCTTCTCTTCTCCTCTCCTCTCCTCCTCCTCCTCCTCTCCCCTCCTCCTCCTCCTCCTCTCTCCTCCTCTCCTCCTCTCCTCCTCTCCCCTCCTCTCCTCCTCCTCCTCCTCCTCTCTCCTCCCTCTTCCTCTTCTCTTCCTCCTCCTCCTCCTCCTCTCTCCTCTCCTCCTCCTCCTCCTCTCCTCCTCCTCCTCCTCCTCTCCTCCTCCTCCTCCTCTTCCTCTTCCTCCTCTCTCTCTCTCTCCTCCTCCTCCTCTCTCTTCTCCTCCCTCTCTCTCTTCTCCTCCTCTCTCCTCTCTCTTCCTCCTCCTCCTCCTCTCTCTTCTCCTCCTCCTCCTCTCTCTCTCTCCTCCTCCTCCTCCTCCTCCTCCTCCTCCTCCTCCTCCTCCTTCCTCCCTCCTCCCTCCTTCCTCCTCCTCCTCCTCTTCTCTCCTCCTCCTCCTCCTCTCCTCTCTCCTCCTCTCTCTCTTTCCTCCTTCCTCCTTCCTCCCTCCTCCTCCTCCTCCTCCTCCCTCCTCCTCCTCCCTCTCCCTCCTCCTCCTCCTCCCTCTTCCTCCTCCTCCTCCTCTCCTCCTCCCTCCTCCTCTCCTCCTCCTCCTCCTCCTTCCTCCTCCTCTCCTCCTCCTCCTCCTCCTCCTCCTCTCCCTCTCCTCCTCCTCTCCTCCCCTCTCTCCCTCCTCCTCCTCCTCATCCTCCTCATCCTCCTCATCCTCATCCTCCTCCTCCTTCCCTCCTCCTCCTCTCCTCCTCCTCCTCCTCCCTCTCCTCCTCCTCTCCTCCTCCTCCCCTCCTCCTCCTCCTCTCCCCTTCTCCTCCTTCTCCCCCCTCTCCCCTTCTCCTCCTTCTCCCCCTCCCCCTTCTCCTCCTCCCTCCTCCCCCTCTCCTCCTTCTCTCCTCTCCCTCGCCCTCCTCCTCTCTTCCTCCTCCTCCCCCTCCTCCTCCTCCTCCTCCTCCTCCCTCCTCCTCCTCCTCCTCCTCCTCCTCCTCCTCCTCCTCCTCCTTCCTCCTCCTCTCCTCCTCCTCCTCCTCCTCCACCTCCTCCTCCTCCTCCTCCTCCTCCTCCTCCTCCTCCTCCTCCTCCTCCTCCTCCGTCATTTCTCCGAGACAGAAAAATAACTTTTGTCAAATGTCAAATGTCATAGTTTTCCTTATATTTACTTTATGAATTACTGCACAGGTTGTGGAGATCATTATTGCAAGACAGCTTCAGCAGGTGAGGACAACCTTGCAGGACATTGACAATGTGGACTCGGCTGTAGTCTCAGCAAGCAACTGCCTCGACTTCATACGCTATTCGAAGGTAGGTCTGTGAAAGTGAGGGCGATTTTTGTCTTGTTTTTTGGTGTTTTTTTATTAGTTCATTTACAAGTTTGTTTCTTTGTTTTTTTTGTTTTTGTGGAAGGCAAACTGTAATTTGTGAGGTGGGAATTTCATTTTAAAGAGCAACTTTGATTCTTGTTGATTTAGAATTAACCTTTAAGATCATTATTAGTCATCATCAGTCATCATTAGCAATTAGTCATCCTCAGTTATCATCATCAGTCATCATCCATCATCATGTAATCATCAATCATCATTTATCAGTTATCAGGCATTATCTGTCATCAGTCATCATCAATTATTCATCATCAGGCATCATCATCAGTCATCAGTTATCAGTCATCAGTAATCAGTCATTATCAGTTACCAGTTATCAGTTATTGCCAGTTATCAGGTATTATGAGTCATCAGTCATCTCCATCAGTCATCATTATCAGTTATCATTCATCATCAGATACCAGTTAGCAGTCATTATCATCAGTCATCAGTTTTCAGATATGTCATCATCAGTCATTATCATCACCATCAGTTATCATCATCAGTCATTAGTTATCATCAGTTATCAATCATTATCATCAGTCATTGTTTATCATGTTATGGGTTATCCTCAGTTATCATCATTAGTTATCAGTTATCATCAGTTATCATATTATCAGTTATCATATTATCAGTTATCATCATCAGTCATTATCAGTTATCAGTTATCAGTTATCATCAGTCATTATCATCATTAGTTATCATCATCATCATCATCAACATTCATCAATAATCAATAATCTTCATCTTGGTATCAGGAAAAAAGTCCCAAATAATAAAGGAATTGGTAAGGTCAGGTAGGTCTATTAGTTAACTTCTTGGTGATTGAGTGCAAGTGGACCCATCTGTGTGAAAAAAACAACAAAAAAACTACAGGTTGATAGTGCTTGCACCAGGTGATAATGGGTCATTTTGTTTACACTGCAATCAGTCTATTGATGAACAACTCCCCTTCTCTCCTCCCCCGCCACAGCACCTGACCCAGAGGAGTGGGCAAGGTGCAAGCGAGGCCTCTAGCCTGCCACGCACTGCCTCGGCA